TTTCCTTTCTTCTCCCTACAGGGTAGTGTTTCGAGGCCCTCTCAAGGACTCCATTGGGGAAAAGATACTTGGGAATCTTCTAGAGCCCAAGTACATAAACCTAAGTAGATGGAAAGTGTTCAGAGCATGAGAGACTTTTGTCTTCCATTGAAAGCTACGGACTTACCCATCTGCTGTGCTATCGTCCACTCCTTATGGCATTTACCTAAGACCGGAATGCAACAATCCCTGCTTTTGATGAAGATGGAAAAGGGAGAGCATAGAAACACTAAAACTAACATCTTTTTTAGAAGAAACCATTAAAGGAATACCCAGCTGAGATTCAGTTGAAGGTTCCTGCTTGTAATATTTTATCAAGGGCTGACTTAAGAAAAGTCAGTCGAGATGTACTGTAGTTTTCAGCAGTTTCCCTCCCTGCATGGTCAACAGAAGGGCTAGTCAGCTAACATGGTTGATAGGGAGGTATTAGGTGTTCAGACTTAAAGTATGTATCTGAAGCATGGCAAAAATCCCACTCTTACTGTCACATCAGTTAATTCAGGAGTTATACACAGTTAAAATATATTGTCAGTGAATCTGAAGTTCTGGCTACACAACTAATGGCCCTGGGCACAGATGGTCTCTCACTTGAAGATCATGACTTAGGGAGGGAAAGGATGACATGAGGCAGGATAGCCAACTACTGACAATCTGCAGGAACAACATATGCCTTACTGTAATGTGATGGATCAGCATGGACTTGAGATGACAAGAATAAGTCCAAATCCTGAAACTTATTAACTGTGAAACCTTGAACAACTCATTCAGTTTCTCTGAATCTCTGTTTCCTCACTAAAATATGAAAACATTGTCACCAGACCTGTCAGTCAGACTATGACTGTGAATAGAGCTTTAGACAAATATCAGCTCTATCATCTCATCAGCAGCAGGAAAGCTGTGTGTCCAGTAGAAAAGAAGGAAACATACACAAGAGAAGGCAGCTCAAATTCATTGGGGTCCCCGGGTGGCTCAGTCAGTTCAGCATCTGACTCTGGATTCTGGCACAGGTAATGATCCCAGGGTCATGGGATTGAGCCCTGGGTCAGCCTCCATGCTGAACTTAGAGCCTGCTTGGGATTCTTTCTCTCTTTATCTCTCTGCTCCTCCCCAGCTCTCATTCTCTCTCTCTCTCTCTCAAAATAAATAAACTGTGTTTAAAAATTCATTAAGGTATTCATGTTTAGAGGGCACAGGAATGTAACTATTTCTCCCACCCAAGGAAAGAGTCTTAAAATAATTCATTTGTGAAGCTTCAATACATTTTGGGGGAAGAAGGGGTGTCCTGTGTGGCCGTGTAGTAATGGCACCATTATTGTTTTAATGTGAAATGATTCTGCCCTCCCCACAATACCTATATATCTATATCTATATGTGTAGATTTATCAATCTATCATCTAGCTAGACTGTTTCAAAGTAAGTTGCAGACATCATGACACTTCACCCTAAATACTTCAACATGTTGCCCCTAAAAATAAGGACATCATTCTGTATAACCACAATGCCACTATCACACACAAGAAATGAACATTGATGTATTATCTAATATACAACTCATATTCAATTTTCTCTAAACTTGCCCCAAACATTTAATAGGTTTTAAAATTACATCCAGCATCCATTGAGGACTCTTGCCTTCTTCTTCAACCCCATTTCCTAATTTTTGTTCCTTTCCACATTGGTGATTCACTCTAATGATTTTATTCTATATTATGTTAAAATTGCCCTCACTGGAAATGGCATCGCTTCTCTACCATCATCCCTTTTCCAAATCTGTATTAGCATAATTTTAAGACTTAGCTCAAAGGCTAACCATTTGATAAATATGCTTTCATTCCTGCCTGGGGATGTCCATTCTCCTTTTTCTTCTGAATTCTCAAAGAACTTTCGCTGAACTTTGATTGGGTCATTTGCCACTTTCAGTCTTGAGTCAGGATTAAATACCATAACCCTGTATATGTTCTCTATTAGACTAAAGGCTATCTCTTTATGCCTCCAACACTTAGCAGAGCAGTGTGAACAAAATAGGCACTTGGTGGATGTTTTCTACCTAAAGCAAATTTTCCTTAAATAATCCTGGCCTCAATTTATATTTTGTTCATTCTATCTACTTAGGAGATAGTATCCTTCTTCTATTGTCTGTCTATGCAAAGCTGATCTCCGTAAAACCATTCCTAATTATCCAGCTTAGGGTTTTGGAGGTAATGGATATGTTTGTTAGTTGGATTGTGGTGATGGCAAGGAAAATGTATACATATGTCCAAACCCACCAAGTTGTAGACATTGGTTACGTGCATTTGTTTTTTGTCTATCTCAGTAAAGCTGGGGAAAAAGTTTTCAGAAGGGGAAAAAAAGAGTGGAGTCTGGAATCTAGAATCTAATCTAGTCCTGCAATTTATTAGCTGTCGATATTGGGAAGATTACTTAACGTTTTGGTGGTTCAACTTCCTAATCTGGAAATAATCATAGCGTTTACAGGGTTACATATTTTCTGTATGGATGAAATGAGCTAATTCTTATAGAGTACAGAAAATAGTGACACCATATTGTAAGTACTCAGTAAAAGTTAATCATTATTCCACATTCTCTCTCATGGCTCATAACCCTTATTTCGCAAAGATTATTTACCAACTGGTGACCCAGGTTCTGTTTTTGCTAGGAAGTTAAATTTAGATCAGGTATTATTAATGGATTTCTAATGGGCACATTTTTTTCTTAAATAAAGCATGGGATAACTTTGACTATTGAGGATATTCTACATGCCAAGAACTTGGCTAAGTGCTTTCTATAAATATTTCACTCAATATTCACAATAACAATATGAGCTAGCAATTATTTCCATATTATAGGTAAAGCAAAATAAAAACAAAGATTGAGAGAGCATAAGGGAGTTATTCAAGCTGTCCAAGCTGGTAACTAGGGCAGTTCTTGAATGCAAAAATAATATTTAATTTCTGTCTATTTAGCAGAGAACTGAATACATATTCATTAGTGCAATTACCGTCTACGTTCAATTTTCCTTATTGGTACGTACTTAGTTGCTATGACATTTGAGGTCCATATAATTGTTATGTTAGTTAGCTTTTTATTTTTAATATGCCTTAATACAGTAACCTTAGTTTTTGCTTTTAACATGATCTCTTAAAAAGTTTACCTTAGATTCCAATATAAAACTTTTTCCCACATCAGTAACAAGTACATGATACACTCTCAGGATATTTTAACGTAACTATAGTTTTAAAAGAACTATTCTCCATGCATTTGTCCTATCAATTTATGTTTAGCTTTTAGCTTTGTGGTATTTCTTTGGATTAATGCTGTTTCTATGGGAACTACTAGTGTTGAAAGAAATTCTAGAAAACATTTGCTGCACACTTTTGATTTAACAAGGTGGGAAATGGGGCTCAAGCAGATGGGGCACATTTCAATGCTGCTCGGCTAGTCAAGGGCACAGAAAAAATCAGAACTAGAATTCATTATTTCCACTGTTGACCTATACCCTATATATAAATCAGTGTTATGTTTTTTGTGTCCAACCAGTTCCATCTATGGCGTGGCTTGGGATCAGTGCCCTCAGTTCACCTAATATTACATATTCCCAAATAGGAAGCAAGGGGGAGACATGAAAATAGTAAATGTTAGAAGATGTAAAAGCCCCGGGTAATGTTTCCACTCCTGCTGTCCCCTGAATGTAATTTCCTCTTTCTCCACATCCTTAAAGCGATGCTACTCAAGCTGTGGTCCATGGAAGGGTGTGTGAGAAATGCTTATCGCCTTGTGACGGCACAAGTACAAAAAAGGGAGTATTTAGAAAATAACATAACACTTTAATAGAGTAATATATTCCTGTGAAATCTCATAATGGTAAAACTTGGACTTCCATTTTGTATTGTTTTCATTTCATTTTCTTCGTGATTCATTGTAACTGCGCTCTGTAGAAATACTGGTCTCCAACATATGGAGGAGGAAACAGCTTTCATCACAGAAAGTTTGGGAGGCACTGCTTTAAAAGGGCCAGGTTCAGGTGCTACTGGTTCCTTTATAAGGCATCCCTGATGTTCCTGATAAACAGGGGTTTACAATTTTATAATATTTAACATATGTCTCTCTTACTCCTCTTACCAAGATTAGTCATTATTTATGTGTTTTTTTTAAATCTCTCCTGAATAATTACAACCTCCATGAGTACAGGTTATGTATTCATAACACCTCATAATTGGCATTTAGTTCATAAATTCACATTACATTAATGAACTGGATGGGATAACCATTCATAATTATTCACAGATTTGGAGAGGGGAGAAGGTTGAAAGAAATATAGTGGGACATCTTTTCCTGAACTTATATAGGGAAAGAGTTGATAGTACAGAGTTTAGGCACTATCCAATTCCGTATTTTGTATATAAATATTTATTTACTTATTTATTTAAGATGTTTATTTATTTTGAGAGAGAGAGAGAAGGGGGGCAGAAAGAGGGAGAGAGAGAATCCCAAGCAGGTTCCATGCTGTCAGTGAAGAGCCCAATGTGGGGCTCCATCTCGCCAATGGTGAGATCATGACCTGAGCCAAAATCAAGCATTGGACACTCAATCGATTGAGCCACCCAGGTGTCCCTGCACATATATAAATATTTAGACTAGCTAGGAGCCTGAACACATACAGGAACCCAATTTCTGCCTAATGAGAAGCTTAGAAGTTGTCAAAAATTAGTTTTAAAATCAAATTTGTACTCCAAGAAACTGTACAGTACCCTCATGCTTTCAGTACAAGCTGAACAGATATCACGGTTTTGGCAGTATCACAAAGAAATTTCTGGAACCCTCTGTTTGGTGCATGTGCTTTCCAACTCCAATGCATCTAGACTCAAATCGTTTACTGGTGGAGATGCCAATACTCCTAATTACTAATTAAGCAAAACAGAACAAGGTATTCACTTGAGAAGTCAGCTCTAAACCCCACTCACCAAAGTATTCATCCGCAGGTGGATTTTCCATATCATACAGCATCTTCTTGGTTAGGTGTTCGAGCTCATCTTCAGGACGGAATGAAGGGGGAACAGCTGGAGGCCCCATGGATCCTGTCTGTCCACCCTGAAAGGCAGAAAACACACAGTTCTTTAAATGCAATCTGGAGGATCAAAGCAATCGCATTGTACAGGAAGAAGTACTGGACTCGACTACTAAGAGATCTGGGTTTTAGAATCAGATTTTTCAGTTCTTCAGTGTCTGACCTTGGATACACCATTGTACAGTATTCACCTGTCTTAGTGAGATAAGCCATCTACGGACTTTAGAAATCCATGTTTACAACAGTAGGAATCCATTGCATTCAGTAATTGCTAGGCAGTCACTATGTAACAGTTGTATATTTATAAAAGCAAGATGAATAAATTGAGCTTACTCTTTATGGAGTTTATAGTCAAGTGAGAGGTACAGGCCTATTAATAATTAAAGATAAAGCAACTATAGGAAGTGCACAATCAGGATCCATAAGGGACCTCTCATGTAGCCTGAAAGGAAGGATTCCAGAGGAGAGGCAGATGTAGACTAGGACTTGTTCAGTTAAAAGGCAGGAAACTTACAGGTAGAAATTTTTCTATTCAGGTGAGAAAAGGCTAATTGGCATAAGGAGCTCCTGGGAGTTGTGTATTTCTGCAGCACGTATAAAGCTTGTGATAGGATATGGGATGGATCTTACTGGGTAAAGGGGTGCAGAAAGTGAATGGTTTTGTGTTCTAGTTAAGATGGTTAAGTAGTTTTCCCTCTCAGACTACAAACAGCCCCATATCAAATGGGAAAGGTAAATCAAAAGCACTGATACTGGATTGGTGTTTAAATAGATGAGCCAGAATTATAGCACTGTCAGGGAATCAAGCGTCCGTGGAAAGATTACCTGAGATGTTTGACCAAGAATCCAAAGTATGTAGAAAAAGAAGGAAGGCCAGATGCCAGATGTAAAGTAGGTTTGCATGATATAAATAAAAGGGAATGTATTATTCTATTTTCTTTTGCCTATATTATAACTTTGACTGTTTCTGGTATCACACACCAGCGTCTTTAGTCAGTGTGCTTTTATAAAAGAAAAACTCATAAAAGGAAATGGGGCATCTGGTTAGCTCAGTTGGTTTGGGGTCCAACTTCAGCTCAGGTCATGATCTCACAGTTTGGGAGTTTGAGTCCCGTGTGGGGCTCTGCACCTACAACTCAGAGCCTGGAGCCTGCTTTAGATTCTCTGTCTCCCTCTGTCTCTGCCCCTCCCAGGTTTGTGTGAATGCTCTCTCTCTCTCAAAAATAAATGAATATGCATCAAAAAAAAGTTAAGAAATAATGATGGCCACGATGGCTAATGGAGAGAGCTGAGACTGAGAATATCCTGCCCTTGATGTTTATGCATTCATCTTAGTACTATTTTTTTATTTAAATCCAAGTTAGTTAACATACAGTGTAGTATTGGTTTCAGGGGTAGAATTTAATGATTCATCGCTTACATACAACACCCAGTGCTTACCCAGCAAGTGCCCTCCTTAACGCCCATCACCCATATAGCCCATCTCCCCACCCATCTCCCCTCTAGGAAGCCTCAGTTTGTTCTCTGTATTTAAGAGTCTCTTAAGGTTTGCCTCCATCTTTGTTTATGCATCCTTAAGCTGTTGATCAAGAATTTCTCCTTTCACGAACAGGTTACAAGAATCAGTTCAACGAAACTTGAAGCTTCATATTCATTCACCTGTTATCTCACTATACTAAATGAGTTCTTAGATGTGAAAGTCCTGCAAAGTATAAATACCTGTACGAATGTTTCATCCTTACTACCAACGTGTATCTCAACCACTCCAACACGCGTATTAATTATTTGTGTGATGTCTGAGGCATAAAATGCCATCGAAACATATAAGAAGTTGTTACTTGGCACCTATTTGCACTTTTTCTCTATATTTATTTTCATTTTTTAGGTTTTTAAACATATACAGAAAGTTGGGAGTATGGACATGCAGAAAGCATTTAAAGCCCCTCCCCCCCAATTTTTCATGTTGGTTACTAATCTTAGCTTGGGATTTTATTTCATTGTTGGACAATCTGGATGGAGAATGGACAACAGTGAATAAACTATAGCATGTGGCAGGTGACAGAGTAAAAGAAAAAAAAAATAGAGCTGCATGCTGGAATCTTTTATTCATTGGGAGATAAGGAAATTTAACACCCAAAAGGATCAGGGCAGGACTAGTTATGATAAGCCCAGGACAAGAGCCCATCCTAGACTCATTTATTCAATAAACATTAAATGTTAAATTTAAGGTCTCCTCTAAAGTGCAAATAGCACTTGAACGTTGGAGGAATGATTTGCTAGTGATATTAAACTTTAAATGGCACAGATACTATTCACTTCTAGGAAAATTTTGCAGAAATAATCATAAAATTATATGACCAAGGGCAGTCACAGGAATTACATTGGGAAAAAAGGAGGAACCCAAAGTAACAGTGCAACTATCCATCCATGCGTAAGAGGTCACTTAGATGGGCCATGATAGAAACATATCATGGAAGGTGAACAGGTTTTTAAGAGTCCATTACAAAGCTGTCTGCACAAGTAGAAAAAGGAAAAGATCTAGTTATAGGACAGGAAATGTAAATGATGGCCCCATTTTTTGTAGAGTAAGTACAGTTTAATTATGTACAGTTCTATATATAGGTAGGAAAAATAGTCTGAAATGACATACGCTCAAGTGTTAAAGGGGATTTATCTCTGGGTTTGGAATCCTGGGTACCTTTCGGTGTCTAAGTTTGTGTTTCTTTTACAATATATAATTCTACTTCTGCAATCCATAAAGTACAACGTTTTAAATGCAAGGACTTCAAGCGATAAAGATGATCCTAGCCAAATCCTGGAGCAGGCTTCCAAGCCAGGTCAGATGGGGACTCAGAGAGGGGCAAAAGGCCAAAGGTGGAACACAGATGGGTGTGAGTGGGGACAAATGTAAATGGTTCTTCAGTGTTTGAGACCGAAGAGGCAAGAGAAAGGAAGAGCCGGCTCATGACTACCATGCCATGCCAGACTCTGAGGGGCTCTAGGTCTGTGTGGGCCTGAAAATCTGATGAGTTCAACTCCCTTTTGGCAGGGGCTGACATCCATAAAAATGTACATCGAATTTACTTATAATTTCAGGGAGCTTGCAAGTCACAGGAAACCTATCCAGAGACCCTCAGGTAGGACTGTGCAGGCAACAGAAACCACAGTAGGGATTCTCAGCGGCCAGGTGAGCTAATCAGATTAGAAAGTTCTCTCTGCAGTAAGGGAGGACAGGAGAGCCATGGGACTGGAAAGACGCGGCGAGCTTATCCTAACATATTTGTGGCCAGAGAGTGAAGGGGCATACTGCGAAGTGGTGACATTATGGCTGGAGACAGAGGTTTAACTCTGGCACTGGTTTGGTGTCCTCAGGTGAGCTTGTGAACTCTATAACTTTAGATTCCCTTCTGTAAAATAGGCTTGTCCATGCTATCTCACATTTGCTGTGAGGATTAAAATTGGAGAGCTTGCATCTCATGCTATAGAAAGCTTAACTACTTTCAAACCACGGTCCCAAAGGGGTCTCTCTGGACCCTCAACCTGCCTCTGAGGGAGGGGATAATCCCGGTTCAGGTGACAGAATTGAAGGCAAGGATGGGAAACTGACCTACATCGTGTTTTCCAGATTTACAATAAGGAGAGAACTTGAGCCCCCAAAGAGGGTGTCATCTGACTCCAAATGCCAGGCATTTTTCCCACCCAAACATTGCTTCCCATGGAGAAAGTGGAGAAATGTATGAAATATTGCTTGTAATATAAATGGCATTGGCTGTTTTATTTTAAATCAACAACCATTAAGGAAAACCTGATAATTCCTGCTCCCAGTCTTAGGACAGACCCTCCGGGAATGGACACAATTTATCACTGTGTGGCCCTAATCCTTATGCTTCCCTTTTAACATAAACAAAGGCAGCAAGATGGCCAGGTTTGACCTCTGCCAGCCATTCAGATTCTACCCTTAACTCTTAAGTCCTTATTTCCAAGGATTCCCCTCATCTGGGCTTCATAGATTTAAGAAAAATATACCATTCCTTTTATTCTCCAAATACTTTCTCTTTGCTTGCAATACAGTTTCTGAAGGCACTTTCGTTTTTTTTTTGTTTTTTTTTTTTTTTACATTCTAATCCCATGCCATGCTAACTTTGGGTTCCTGGTATTTCTTATGATGAAGCACCCCAAGACCACATTTCTTCCAGTGTTTGTGAATGTTATTTGGCCACAGAATCCCACCACCCTCTGCCCCTGGCCTCCACCCCAACCAGTGCACATAACTTAACATGCATGGAATACATATTGGTAAAAACACAGACTCCTTAGTATCCATGTGTCTCTCACACCAAGGAAGACTCAGCCCAGGGCCTTCCTTGAAGTTCAAGTTCTGTAAGTATTTTAGGGCTTCTCTCACTGGGGTAAAAAGACCCCTCTTAAATTTCTCTTTCTCAGTAGTGCTCAGAGCTCAATGCACCCTAACATGCCCAGTTAATCTTTTTAAAAATTTATTTTAATGTTTATTTATTTTTGAGAGAAAGAGAGAGACAGACAGACAGACTGCAAGTGAGGGAGGGGCAGGCTCCAGGGTCTGAGCTGTCAGCACAGAGCCCAATGCCAGTCCTGAACCCACGAACTGTGAGATTATGACCTAAGCCGAAGTCGGTCGCTTAACCAACTGAGCCTCCCAGGCGCTCCTCTCAATTCATCTTTTGATAAGCAGCTTCCAGAATTGTGCTGGGGTAATAGAATATGATTGAAAATTTGTGCGGTGGGGGCTGAAAGGGATGCATTGGATTATATTGTTTTTTATTTCCTCAAACACAGAGATGGGCATGATATCGGCAGTAGTCACCGTGGCATAATAGTAATTCCTTGTATTTTTGTGACCCTTTTCAAGGTGCCTGTTTTCACATACACGTAATCTCAAATGTTTATGTAACAGCCCTGTGTAACAGGTAATCATGCTTCGTGAGGAAATTGAGGCCCAGAGAGGGTAAATGAGCTCCCTCGGCGGAGCCCTGACTGCTGCCAG